GGTCGCAAAAGGGGATCACGTGTCCCTGAGACACTGCGACCATCATAAATATGAGTTCCGCTAACGAGCATCTGAATTTTGTTCATGTGTCTATGGGGATATTGCTACTTTTTCAGTGCTGTTGTAACACAAACACAACACAAATAGTTGTAAGTCGAGGTCTATCTGTATTGATGGATCTAATTGATCTAATGGATCTAATTGACAGCAGTGGTGACATTGAAGCCTTCCATAAGACCAGGAAACTATCATTTCTGTACGAAAATGGTCACCTGAGGAAACAGCTTAAACTATGGATGTGTAAGTTATGTATACCAATATCCTATTAATTCTGAGATTAAATTCCTATTAAAAGTCCAGCGTTCTAACATGGCTTGCTTCCTAATGCCTAGTTTTTAGATGTTTGGATGCAACACCACTAGGTGGCATTAAAACTCAGCCTCAATGTTAGGATTTTTGTTAGGATGTTTTGACTTTCTCCTTATGCGTTATGGTGGCTCCAAGACCTTGGTCTTAGTTGAGTCCTTGATCAGGATGTTCTATCAGGAAGGTGTACAAAAGCATACAAGAACAATTTCTACTTAAGGTAGTGACAACTTGTGCCTAATAAGATGCAAATCCATCCCACATCCTTTGCTAATAACTTTAATTTTCCATTCCTAATCTATCAACATTCCAAGAGAAAAAGATAGAATCCCATTTCATTATTAGAAGGTAAACAGGAAGTATCTTAGATTTTGAGGTCCATGTTTCCTTTTGGGAGGTTTTGGCATTTGCAGCAGAAATAGGGATTGAATTTTGTATTCTGTTGAGCTTTAGAGCTGAGCTGGGATCTCTTCCAAGTCTGCAATTCTTTTTCTTTCTTTCTTTCTTTTTTGTAAATATTTTTTTAATTTTTCCCATATAATTCAATAGTGCTTATTCAACAATGTGTTGTCTGAGTTTATTATTCACTAGTACAAATTTAATTCCTAATCCTTTATTCTTTTCTCCAGCCATTGATAAAACTCAAGTCTGCAATTGTTGATTCTTTTATGATCAGTCTCATCTTTGTCTTTGGTCTTAAAATAATCTCCTGCAATATGGCTGGAAACTATGTCTGCACCCAAAATATGTGCTCTCCCTCATTCCTGTGAATGTGAATTCCACAGGAGTTAATCCATCATGTGAAAAGCACTACGATAAATTCAAAAGATTCTTGTTAGAAATACAAATTCTTTAAACAGCAATAGCACTTAGACTTATATACCGCTTCACAGCCCCCTCTAAGCCAGACATATCAAACACAAGGCTCGGGGGCCGGATGCGGCCCGTGGTTTCATGTGGCCTGCGAAGCCATCCTGGAAACAGTGAGGGAACGGCCCCCACTGCCTTGGCCCTGGCCCAGGCCGGCCGGCAGCCAATGTACAATTTTGTGGTGGCCATCTATGCTGAAACGCATTCAGTCTTAGCTCCACAAGGCCATCTGGAAACAACGAGGAACCAGCCCCTGCTGTGTCGGCCCCGCCCCCTGGGTGCATGCTGGGGAGGTGTCACCCTTTGTGAGGAATGAAGAAATGGACCATGCCATGGCGTTTGCCCCGGTCCCACCCCCATCTGCCAGAGACCCTCAGATCTGTCCCACTCCTGCCCAGGCCCCCACAGGCACCCTTGACACGAAGGATGTAGAGCTGGCCATGCTCATCCAGTAGGCCACACCCACTCCATCCATGCCCACCCAGTAGACTGCACCCACCCTGGCCACACTCACCCCCCCCCCCGAGGGCAACTGCAATGAAATTGAGTTTGAGAACCCTGCTCTAAGTGGTTTACAGAGCCAGCCTATTGCCCCCCAACAATCTGAATCCTCATTTTACCAACCTCAGAAGGATGGATGGTTGTGTCAACTTTGAACTGGTCAGGATCGAACTCCTGGTAGTTGGCAGAATTAGTCTGTAATGCTGCATTCTAACTACACCACAGCACCGCTACAGCTCTTAAAACACTATTTCTGAGTGTAGTTGCTTGCCAGATGAGTAAACCTCTTTTCCCAGCCCTCCCCAGCCAGCCCGGCCATTGCAGAGAATCTGCAATGGGACCTACCCTTGGAGCAGGTTAAGCTAGGACTAGGAAGAGGACCTGTATTTTCAAACTAAGCTACAGCTCAGACCATTTTGGAGAAATTGTGGGTGCATAGGAGTTGAACCATTAAAATTCTCCACTGTAAAACACCCAACCCTCCTAAATTATAGTAACCTAAGATGTTAAGGAAAGAATATATGGCTTGGTTTAATCTCCTTAACGTCCAGTTTTCTTTCCCCACATGTAGAAAAATAGTTGCATGTTTCATCAAATGGTTGTGAGGAATGCACATAAGATATGTAGTTTCAAGCATTTGCCCAAAATGTTACTTGCATTGCCTTCCATCTGCCAGATTTGCAGAGCACATTAAGGTTGTGATACATCTGGCCAGAGGCTAACTTTCTTTCCAAAGCAATGGGCTTCATTTTTGTTTTCTAAACTTATGGAATTGTTTCTGGCCAGAGGCATACAGTACTTAGAAAGACAGGTGATGCTTGAAGCTAACTAACATCTTGCTTGGAAGCGTCCCTTGCGTTCAGTTATTAATTCTTTAAATGTAAAAAAAAACAAAACAAGATAGTTTGTCAGGTACAAAGGGAAGTGTCAATTGTCACACTGCTGCCTTCCCAACACACAAGCTATCATTTGGGGGGGGGTTGTTTTTTTGTTTTGCTTTTATAAGATTAAAACCAGTGGTGAGATTCAGCCAGTTCGCACCGGTTCAGCAGAACCAGTAGCTAAATTTTGCTGAGTTCAGAGAACCGGCTGAATGGACACTGCTTCCAGTTGGGAATCACAACTTCCAGGCCTCTTGGACAGCTGGGATGCTGGGATTAGTGGTCACTTCTAAAAGGGAACAAGTTGCAGAAGGCTGGTCAGCATAAGGTCTACTCTGATGATGGGTATCCTGAACTTGGTCCTCCCGCTGGAGAAGAGACCAGGGAACTAACTGTGATCCTTAATCCATCCTGGTCTATCCTGCTAATTTCTGCTCCTGTCTTGTCAAGAATGCAGAGTTTTTACTATATTGATTGGTTTGGATTTTTATTTTTTGTTACCTGCTCCGAGCCTGTTGGAGGACGAGATATCTTTTGAAACTCTTTTTCTTAAACCATTTTATTCCTTTGGGGGAAATAGAGGTTGCAAGGACATGGAATCAGGGAAAGGGCCCTAATGAAAAATTCTCAGCATGCTTTCAGACTTTAGTTCCCAAGTTTCTTTAGAGGAATCGTGCTGGCTAAAGTTGCATATTTTATTGCAAGGACCCAAATTTTATTGGAAAGATCCAAGAGTCTGTTATGAAATCTGGATTTGCTCAACCATTAAAAAAAAAAGTATCTCACTCTGGCTGCATTCACACAACACACTAAACTAGGCAGATTAAAAATGTACTGGCTGATTGCACATTCTATTAAGGTTAGTCAGCTTAATCGTAGGATTTGAGGGGCTGCCATTGCTTAGTATGTTGTTGCGCAAATTAGTTGCCATCATACTGGAAAGATGGGATTTAATTTTTTCCTCAGAGGAGGAGGTGACCAGCTGCATGTTCTCCCATTTTTCAGGTGTCTCTTGGGCCTCCCTTTTCCTGATGCAGGGTCCCAGGGGAGCTCTAAAAAATGGACAATGGAGATGAGACAGGAGACCAAAAGGTTGGTTGAAACTGTGTCCTCTTCAGGAAGGAGCTGAAGATGTATCATTTCACATTGGAGAAAGAGAAACCCTGATTTACTTTTTCATAACCTCACACTCTATCTACATCAATGTTTTCCAGACTTGGCAAAGCACTGGTCTAGATACTTCAAAGCTTTCACGTGGGGCAAAGCAGAACACAGCCTTTCTCTTCCAATGTGCAAGCAGCTGCTGATGCAGTATTTCCACCCTCCATGTACTGAGTGAATGTCTGAAGGAGAAAAGGGAGTTGTTCTTCAAGGTCCATGATGGAAAAATATCCTCTCTCTTTCTCTGTCTCTCTCTCTCTCTCTTTCTCCTCCCCCTCCCTCCCTCTCTCCCTCCTTCTCCCTCTCTCTCTCTCTCTCCCTCTCTCATGCCTAAACCATCCAGTACAGGGTTGTCTATAATGTACACAAGGAGTTCTTAGGAGGAGCTTCCCTACCCTATCTAGAGATGCCAGGTGGTTCCTTGGCATTGAAACATCTAGAACAAGGATCTCCAAATCTTTACACTTGGCAACTTTAAGACTTGTGGACTTCAACTCCCAGGATTCCCCACCCAGCATTAAAGTTGCCAAGTTTGGAGATCCCCTGCTCTAGAACTACAAACACATTCCTGATTTGTTTGGGTGCTCTGGATTATTTAAGGGGCTGTGCATGGAAGAATCATATTTTATTCCTAGCAAGCTTGGGAAAAAGTGTCTGTGCTAGCCCCAAATTAATTTCAGCTAGGTGTGGAATTAAAAATTTTAAATACCCAATGTAAGTATTTAGTTCCCTTCGTCTGGTTAGATCCCACAGGCTGGGCCTCCTTCAGGTCCCGTCGGCCAAGCAGTGCCATTTGGCGGGGCCGCGGGGGAGGCTTTCTCTGTGATGGCGCCCACATCTTGGAATCAGCTCCCCCTGGAGATTAGGACCGCTCCCACCCTGTTGGTTTTCCGCAAGCTGCTTTTCTGGTGTTTATAATCTGACTGCTGGATGATTGTTATTGTATTGTTTGTTAAGTTATGTTGTGTTTTTATTGTAAACCACCCGGAGTCCTGCGGGAGTGGGGCGGTCTATAAATTTTAATAAATAAATAAATAAATTTACAGTTTTCTACTTCTCATAATTTAAAAAAACAATAACTCTAAAGCAGAGTCACAAATTCTTTATAAAGAGTCCAGCAGCAGTCAATGGTCAAACTAGCCTTCAGAATCCTGCCTCAACTTTGGGTAAGCTATCAACTTTTTTTATCATCCAAAGGCAAGAAAGACAAACAACCTCAGATAAAGAAAAAATTTAAATGTTTTTATTAAACGTTAAAGAATAACAGAAAGATTTGGGCTGAAAAACATATAGAACACAATTCATGTCATGACATACATTTAATTTGATCTTGTTTGTTAAACTCTTGTGAACAGAGCTTTCCTACGAGGTTGCCAGAAATACAACAGTTGATCACTTGAGAGGGAAAAAAAGGTGGAACGTTTTCCCAAATAAATCAAAAATACCAAAAGCTCATTCTTGCATTTCTCAAACAACACACATGCTAATGCAAGTGTGCATACATGCACACATACCACACACACAATTTCTGAAGCAACAACAAAGGCCAGGGGACCAGTTAACTCAAAAGATAAGGCTAAGTTTCATTCATTAATAACTTATCATAATCTTACTCAGAAGTAAGCCCACTGTGTGCAGAAATACTAGAGCATATACAATTGTAACCTAATTTACATCTCACTCCAGCAAATAATGTGCAGTCTTAAATCAATGGAGCACTGAAACAACAGACCACGTGTACAGATGACGTACTCTCCTAACAATACCAGAGGGTGGAAAAGCTGTGGCCTGCCTGTTTTATCCAACTCTTTGCCGTACTAGCTGAGGCTGATGGGTATGCAACATCTGCAAGACACCTGGAGGGAAACAGTTATCTGAAACAGTTTTAAAACCGATGAAATGGCTAGTTCTGATAATCATCTCCTGAGAGATCAGGAATGTTTCTTGCAAACTCTTTGCTAGAAGATACACCAACCAATAGCTTCCTGGTGCAGATAACTATCAGTCCTTAAGCAGGTGTCTTCCAGATATATTAGGGCTACGGACTTGCTAGCTGGCATGGCTTTGGGCTGGTTCAAAGTATGGGCAATATATTCCCATCACAGTTGGGAGATGTTGGTAGACAGGATTTGGAAGAAGACATCTCTTATTCCAATGTCAGCTTGATCCACAAGCCAATCCAGATCTAGCTATGCATTTAGCAATGTGCGGGCAGCTCTCAGGCTTCAGTTCTGATCAATAGTCTATCACTGTTGGCCTTGCTCTAGATCAGGGGTAGGCAACCTTGGCTCTTTTATGACTCGTGGACTTCAACTCTCAGAATTCCTGAGTCAGCATGGCTGACTCAGGAATTCTGGGAGTTGAAGTCCACGAGTCATAAAAGAGCCAAGATTGCCTACCCCTGCTCTAGATTCTGCCTATCTCTGGAGAATCCATCCTCATTTGGCCTATGTAAGAGTCACATCTGACTTACTCCTGTCCTCATTTATGTTTTTTCCTTAACTAGTTTCTCTCAGTTTGTTGTTTTGAGAGAAACTTATCACTTACCTATTCATAGGGTAAAATCAAATAAACTAGCAGGCCAAGTTGAAGTTCAAAATTGGAAGTAAACAAAAGTGTGTTTTGAGGGCAGATCAAGTTTGGACATCTGATTGCTTTGTTGTGTGTCCAAGATGTTGTGTTGTATGTAACTATGGATTATTCACAGAGCCACTGTATAATTTGACAGTGGTTTCTATGACTTGATATAGCTGTCCTGTCTAGAAATTAAGTGATCCTACAATGATGAAGTTAACTGGTGTTTTAATATTTACAGCTCTGTGTTCAGATTTTTACATTTCAAAAGAATTTCCAGATTAGCGAAATTATATTTCTTTGTTGTCTCCATATCCATCGTTGAGATAAAACTTCCTAACCTGCAAAGCATCTTTGTTAATTTGACTTTCCATACTGGCATCTCCAGACAAGACAAAATTATGAGTCAGACCATTAAAATATTTGGGATTTGGAGGAAATGAATACAGCCTCTGTTCACAACTTCTTAGAGGAATCCTATCTTCTCCCAGTATTATGTCCTTTAGGCTTGTTTTACATTCAGTGAAAATTATTATCAGCTTAACATTTACTTTTACACACACATAAACATTTAGAAAGAAACATTTACTGACCAATATAGTTCATCCCCTAAAGATAATTACTCAGCTGAAATAATGGTCCAAAAAAAAAAAATCTATTAAAGCATTTAGGATACTGGGATACATTTTTAATCTTTCCACAAGAATGGCACCATTTCTTTGTAATTGTCCAAAACTTTTGTTTAAATCACTTTTAGTATAATGTGATCTTATGTAACAGAAATGCACTTGTTTTGGTGGAAAAAGTGATCTAGAAAGACATGTGGCACCATAATTTTATGACGTGCAGTGTTTTTATTGCACTAAAGAAAACCCCTACCTTTCCTGTAATTCACCAATTCAAAAAAAGCACCTCTTCAAGTATAATAAAAGCCCAGTATGGCTCAAGTAAGTCACTTGGTTTTGCTCATTCTTGTACTCAACAAGGGACAGAAAGAGACTGGGCAAGAAAATTGAAACAATGGACCTCTAGAAGATGCCAGAAGGAAAGCAGTAAGCATGAAGACAAGAGCAGGGAATCTATGCTCTCCAGATGTTGTTGAATTTGTTGGTCAGCATTATCCAACACGGGTAAGGGTAGACAACAAGAAGCTATATGGTTCCACAAGCAGAAACAACTGCCTTACAGAAAACGGGGCACCAAAATTGGCATAAGTGGAATTCAGTTTAGACAAATGTGTCTAACAGGATACCAGCTTAGGGAAGGGATATTGAGCAACTAACCTGGCCTCATCTCTAAACATGTGAAATGATTCTTACTGCTCCTAAATTGTCCCCCCAAATCAAACACCCTTTCTAAACCTGCAGAAGTACACAGAGCTACACTACTGATCACCAGAGAGAGCTGTGACTGGATGAGAATTTTGGATGCTACAGTCCAATGTAACTAGAAGTCCAGTATTTTGGAGGTACCTGAAGCAGAGTGCTTGCCTGCTCTCCACTGTACTAAGTTGAAAAACAGGCCTCCTGTTTTAATTCTGTTAAGCTGTCTATCGGGAAGGGTCTGGGAGACATTCCAGCCTCTTCAGTTGATGTCTTTTCAGAGAAACTTGCTTCAATCTGCAAGAACCATCTTTAGGAACTTTCTTGCTTTCTTTCAAACTTTCACCATAGATACAAATCCTCATTCTGAGATAGAAATCTCAAAGAGGATTGATAATGTAAGCTCTATGAGCGTTATTCACGCTGCCTAATCCCCAGTGTATTTGCGCTTCTGAAGCTCTGTGACAAATGTCACCAGCTTTGTCCTTTGTCCAACCAAATAACTGCATTTTTTAAAAAGGACAGTTGAGCTGTGTTTGCTCAAGAGAAATTTGAAAGACTACAGCAGACAATACTACATGCAGAAAACATTTAGTGTCCCACCCGTCTCCATAAGATCCCAGCCATTTTCGCATGCAGGATTTACATGAGGCTGGCAGGAACTGTACAGAGCCTCTTCTTCTCATAACTGGGCAGTTGCTAAAGTGGGGGAGGCTATAAGAAAAAGAGGGAGGTAGAGCTTTCTATTGCACCCAATGGGATCCTTCCAGAAGCAAGCAACTGAGCCCAGCAACATGGATCATTCTCTAACTGAAAACACAAAACTACCTCAATGTGCCAGTGGCGAGCATACAATATCATCATTTAAAAATAAAAAGCCCTAGAAGCATTTCTTCTGTATTCAATATTCATGAATATATAAACAGATATATTGTCGTCTTTAAAGTGAAATCATCTACTTTATTTTTAAACCCTCTCTTTGCTTAAACATATGATATATATCTTATTCTTTTCCCCAAAATACACAATCAACATTTGTCCTTGAAAAATACTGTACAGGAAAAAAAAAGCAGTCTAAAGATTCCGTATAAATTTTATACATTTTATAATAATCAATTTCTTTTGGTCTTCAGGAAACATTGAAAAGAACAGAATTAACCACAGCATGACAACATCATCACTTTTCAATATATATCTGCATCTCTTACATTCATTTCCTCCCCACCCTCCAAAAATACTTTATATAATGTAGCATAAGTTTAAAAAATAACTAAAAAAAATAACAACAGGAGAATCTCTGAAAACAATCAGCTCATACAATCACAGCAGCATGTCAAGGCAAAAAAACTGCAAAAGTTGCTTCTAACTGAATCAAAGCCATTTGAGGGGGGAAAAAACAAGAAAAACCCAGCAGGTGGGAAATCTACAGAAATTATATTGCACACAGTCGATTAAAAAGCTGAATTCAAAGCCTTTCCCAAGAAAGAAGAATTTCAGAAGGTCTATGGAGATTCCTGATCGTCCAGGTCATGCTTGCCCCAAAGGTGCTTTTTTCAGAGGCAACCGTTTTTCTTTGAAGACGTTTCTCTTCTCAGCCAAGAAGTTTCTTCAGTCCTGTTCGGTTCTGAACAACTGAAGAAGCAACTTGGATGAGAAGCGAAACATTGTCAAGGAAAAACAAAGAAAGTCCAATTGAATTTGGAAAAAGCTCCTTTGGTACAAGAATTTCAGAAACTGAACATCAGTGGGAAATAAAAATGCAGTCTGCTCAAACTCCAAAGATAGTGTAATGTAGGCCTTTTTTTATTTTGGTTTCCAGTTCTCTGGTCACTGAATTATCTTGCATTTTTGTATAAAGTTTCATCCTGACCTAGCATGGTCATCAGCATCACTCCTGCACACCAAGAAAAGCACTGGTCTCTTTGACGAGTGGGTGGTGGGCCAAAGGCAAGCATCACTTGACCTTTGTCCCCAATGGTGGATTGATCCAAACCCCTCGGATTACGCCAATCACAGATTGGTCAAGGGCAAGAACAGCAGATGTTCACAAGAGCCTTTTGACCATCCAGCCAAAACCAGATAAACTCTCCCAACAGCCCAATTCACGAGCTATTGGCCCAACCCAGCTTTTGAAAAAAGCACTGTGCACTAAGCAGATTGGAGAAAGATCTGCAGAAGGAGCAGAGCAGGTCACTGGCTGAATTGACACCCCGAATTCCCTGAAAATTTAACTGGCAATTTCTAGATTTCCACTTGCTGGTCACAAAGTGTCACAAAGAAAGATGAAAGACAAAGGTATCCTGGTCACTTCTTGATAAGACTGAAACAAGTGTTTCAGAGTTGGAGTCTGTCAACCTTGAAATGTTCTGCACACTGGTTAGAATTTAGTGTTGTGCCCTGCACATCACAAAAAAAAGGTGTGTGTGGGGGGGGGGAGGAGGATTGGTAGAAGCAAAAAATTAATTCACCCAAGGCAGGAATATGCTTTGGCCTCATCTGCACAGCATGCATTGATACTATGCAGACATCTGATGGATTTATTTTTTTTTGCTTGTCTGATTAGGGATCATTTTTAGACAAACTATCAAGAAATCTTCAATGTTTTTTTTTGGGGGGGGGGAAGAGCATGAAAAAGTTACAGTATTAGGGTACAAAAGTCATCCAATGCCCATGAGGAATATTTTAACCTCTACAAGAGAATTACTGATTATGCCCAGGGGATGCAAAAATATTCTCCCTCTGACCCATTTATAATACTTTTGATTTTAAAGCAATGAAAGGAAAGTTAGCTGTTCCTTATTTTTCTACAAGGAGAATATAGAATACATTATGAATCGGAAGGTCTATTTTATTTACCAGAATGTAAAAACATACAATAAATGAAAATCAAAACAAAATAAAAAAGCGAATCTATAAATTAGTATCTCTGCAGAATAGCATGAATATCAATTGTGCATTATTATCAGTAAGCTTACCCTGCCTGATGTGCCTTATTGAAACAACAAGCCAAAAACAGCTCTAACTTTTATCTTCTTTCTCTTGTTCTTTCTCATTACCAGGGTGGTTTTCTTTCGTTTTCTTTCTTTTTTCCCCCCAGTTAAATCAAAAGAATAGGATAGGATAAGACAAAAATACAGTTTAAGCAGCGCTGGAAAATATATACATACATGTCTACATGTATGTATTCCATAAATGCTTTACTATGGCCAGTCTCAGCCAACCCAACCCTGCAAAAGGGGCTTCATAAAAATACAAGAAGAGCCAAGAAAGACATGCACACTCATTCACAAGTATGCCTGCACTGATGTGCACAAGCACACGGGTTGTACACTGGTTCTGATTCTGCTTTCTGTTAAAGTGCCCATGACTGAAAAGTTGGTTTGGGTGAGTGCTATCAAACATGAAACATGCTGTCCCATCTATTTAAACGCCAAACCACAAAATAAAATAAAAAAGTAGATGGGAAGAAAAGAAACAGGGGTGCTGGCGGATGGGAGTGGGGGTGGGTGGGTCGGAGGCCATTTAGAGAGGACCATGCCGGGCTTCATACTTGACAAGGATGTTCTTGCATTTGCTCAATTCCTTCCGTAGTTCAGCCACCTCCTGGCGCAGGGCTGTATTCTCCTTCTCAAGGAACGAGGCACGGATAGCAATCTGGTTTTCCTTCAGCCTCCGGGCATCTCTGGAACGCTTGGCAGCCATGTTGTTCTTTCTACGTCTTGCCCAGTATTTGTCATCCTGCTCATTAATCACAGAGGAAAAGAAAATCGGTGTTAGATTTCAGTAGAGAAACAGAGACCCATAAGGCATCAGCAGGGCTGTAGGTATTCTTGCGTTCAGCTCAAACACTGTTACGTTGAAAAGCAGGTGCAATATGACACTTGCAGTGCTGGGATATCTTCTAAAACAGAAATAGATACAAACTGCCTATCTATTTGTTTGCATTTTAATGTTTATTTTGAAATAGATAAATAGATAGATAGATAGATAGATAGATAGATAGATAGATAGATAGATAGATAGATGGGCGGGCGGGCAGGCAGGCAGGCAGGCAGGCAGGCAGGCAGATAGAGATAGACACAGACGGACGGACGGATGGGCGGCAGGCAGGCAGATAGACAGAGATAGAGATAATGATAGATAGATAGATAGATAGATAGATAGATAGATAGATAGATAGATAGGTGGGTGGGTGGGTGGGTGGGTGGGTGGATGGATGGATGGACGGGCAGGCAGGCAGATAGGCAGAGATGGAGATAATAGCTAGCTAGCTAGCTAGCTAGCTAGATAGATAGATAGATAGATAGATAGATAGATAGATAGATAGATAGATAGATGGGTGGATGGGTGGGTGGGTGGGTGGATGGATGGGCGGGCGGGCAGGCAGGCAGATAGACAGAGATAGAGAATGATAGATAGATAGATAGATAGATAGATAGATAGATAGATAGATAGATAGATAGATAGATAGATAGATAGATAGATAGTAGGTGGGTGGGTGGGTGGGTGGGTGGATGGATGAGTGGGCAGGCAGGCAGGCAGATAGACAGAGATAAAGATAATGATAGATAGATAGATAGATAGATAGATAGATAGATAGATAGATAGATAGATAGATAGACAGACAGACAGACAGACAGACAGACAGACAGGAGACATAGAGATTAAAAAGCTTCTTTGATGGAACTCTTACTCTTTTCTCACAATTTAAACAATAAAAGTTCCACTCTTCCAATTTAAATAGCAAAAGTCCTTTGCTAGATGATTTGCATCTTAACTAGCTAAAGATATTTCTTGTTTTTTTTAAAAAAAATGTTTTATTGATTTTTAACATAATCACCTTAATATTTGGTAAATAGTATGTTGTCTGGGTTAGTATTTAAAAAACAATCAATAACAATTAATTACTATAATTCTATAGTCCATTTGCTTGATTTTCTCTCCTTCCAATAATATTCTCTTTTGCCAACCTTAAATTAATACAGTTCTTATTATTTGAATAAATGGCAATTAAATATAGACATTTTTCTCATGTTTCTGCAAATAATAACCACATCAGTAAAGCTTCTTTTCTAATTGCCTCATCATAGATTTCTTGTTTTTTTTAATTGTTCAAGTAGGGTGCTTTTAAAGATCTGACCCTTACTTAAATCTTACTTAGCAATCAAAAGTACATGTCAATAAATTCACTGGAGCTCACTTCCAGGCAACTGACCAAAAGGATCACATTTCTGCTCCATAAACCTAATTGTCAATGGATCATATCTTGGCTGTCGATATCTTTTAAATCAGGTTTTTAGCAAAGCACTAGGTCTTATGAGTAGGACCTTTCTGAAAACCTGACTCAGAAGATATCCTACGAGCAGGAAAAATTAATAAAGTGGGATATAAATATGTAAATCAGATGGAAATGATTAGGAATCAACTGGAGCTAGCATAATGACCCCTGCACTTCATAGCTTTTCTCTGCACTACTGCTCTAACAGTGATAAGGAGGAGAAAGACTTTCTTCTGTATTTCTCATACACATTTTTTCCAAATGCTGGGAATGATATTGAACTGACAACGAAAAGTCACATCAGCATGATCAGAATGTATTCATGTATTTAAGAGACTTATATGGCTGTACATCTTATGTGCTGTAATCTAGGGCGGCTTATAGCACCAGCAATAAAAACAATAAAGCTGCTATCTAAATAAACAACTCCCAGCACCAACCCAACATTCTCCGATGAATCAAAACCCTGCAATCCTTAGATTCAAGCTTCACCCCACTTGAGAGAAGGGCCAGTCTTTTAAAACTTTCTGGAAGGCTAGAAGGGTGGGCATCTTAGAGGGAGGGTCTTCTACAGGACAAGGGTTGCCCCTGAGGAAAGCCTGAGTGTTCCCTTGGTCCAGCTAGAAGACAGCCCCAGGGAGAAGAGGCCTAGAACACATCAACCCCGTCCAATCTGCTGGAAGTGAACAGATGCCCTCAGGGACAGCTGGTCATAGAGATAACCTGCCACACAGCCTTTAAGGTTGACAACGTTTTGCTGATGATGTTTGGTTGCTAAGTTGTGTTTGACTCTTCATGACGCCATGGACCACAGCACGCCAGGTCCTCTTGTCCTCCACTGTCTCCCAGAGTTTGCCCAAATTCACGGCCACTGTGTCAATGACACTATCTAACCATCACATTGTCTGCCATCCCCTTCTCCTTTTGCCTTCAATCTTTCCCAACAGCTGGGTCTTTTCCAATGAGCCCTCTCTTCTCATTTGGGGGCCAAAGTATTTGAGTTTCAGCTCAACCCGACCAAAGATTAGTCAGGGTGGACTTCCCATAGGATTAATTGATTTGGATCTCCTTGCAATCAAAGGGACAGAAGGGATAAATAGAATCTTGAATTGCACCCTGAAAGAAACTGGAAACATCTTGCAAAGCAATGTTGTAATATGGGCAACACAATAGAACCCCCAAAACTCTGCATGCCACTGCATCCTGGACCAGTTGTAATTACTGGATGGTCTTCAAGGGCAGCCCCATGTAAAGTGCATTGTGGCACAGTGACAGCATAAGCTGTAAGTCCATCATGATCCCAAATTGTGCATTAGCTACATCTGGAGAAAGCTACCATCAAGAGTAAAATATGACACTTCCAGGATATGAAAACCCCAAAGCTACTCTCTCTCTGGCCAGGACTGAGTCTGAGCTGGTTCTTCTCTATCCTGACCCTCAGAGCCTCCAGGCTGCTGAATGGCGTTGCCTGCTTGGCCATGGATGGAGGTGTATAAATCATGCTGCTAAATGAATTTGCCCAGCAGTTTCATTAGATGCTGAAGTGAAGCAGTGATAGTCCTGAATTCTGAGGTACTCCCACACAAGAGAGGCCTAGGGTTGGACCCCTTCCCTCTCCTCTCCAGCAGAAACAAACTGTCCCTGCTCTCAAGCCCCAAAGGTGGTCAATGCTATCAAAAGCTGTTGAGGGATCCATGTGGGCCAAAAAGGTTGCACTAACCCATCCCCAGCTCTCCAGATGTCACCCACAAGCAAAGCCAATGTCATCTTGGTACTGTAATCTAGCCCGAGAAAGGTACAGATAATCCACTTTATCCAAGGCCCACTAAGCTGAGTACTTAAAACAAAGTTGGATCTCAGGAGGGTCTTGAGAAGAAGGCACACCACCACATGTTTCAAGTCAAGTGGGCACTACCTCTCCCACTATGAGGACCCATCCACATGCTACCACCTAGAAAACTGTAACCAGCTAGGAAAGGTATAAGCTCAGAACATAGGGGTCAAACTCATAGCTGCAAGGACCTGTCCACTTTTTCTGAATCTATCAGTTCAAACCTTTTCCAGAAAACTGAGCTCAGATCAACCTCAGGTACTTCCATAGGACCTGTTCAGCAGGAATCCAATTCCAAGCGATGCCAAGCAACTTTGACAGATGCTGAGAATATTTCTCACAGCAACCCCACAGAGGATCCCCTGACCCAATGTTACCCAGAAAGGACCTGGTCACCTGAAAGAGGGTCCATCAATTGTCTGGGGTATCCCTATTGAACAGAATCAATAGCCAAGCCAATAGACCAGTGATGGCGAACCTTTTAGAGACCGAGTGCCCAAAAACTGGCCCCGCCCCCACTCCCCCCCGCTCCGCTCCACCCCATCCCCCACCCCGCCTGCCTGCAGAGCCATTCACCGCCACCAGGGCCCACTGCAAATCGCCCAGGCAGCCCAGCAGCACCATGGTGGCCACACCCCCTGCCTGCGCCCTGCAGCATCAACTGTGCACGATGGGACGTGAGGGCAGAGTCTTCTGTACGCTGCCTGGCTGCCATGTCCTTGGCTGCGTTGCTCCGTGTGGGCCAGGCTCGGGGGTGACTCTCCTCCAGGCGGCTGCTGATGAGGAGAGGGTCATGGGGGGGAGATGAGGCTGGGGCAATGGCACATGTGCCCACAGAGAGAGCTCTGAGTGCCGCCTCTGGCACGCGTGCCACAGGTTCGCCACCCCTGCAATAGACTGTCTGCAAAATTAAATAATTTAAGATTGGCTAACGAATATCTCTCTTTCTAAGAAGGATGGGAAATTGGCTCATATATTTCTGCAGTGCTTACTTCCCATCTGATTCCTCTCCAGGAAAAAAAAAGCAACTTTCAATTCAATTCATTCTTGAATTACCAAGGCCATGCACATCTCTTGTATTTAAAAAAAATTACAAAATCTAAACCTTTAATCCCAGTCTGAAAGGACAGCAAACACTTGAAATCATACATAGCCCAAAGACTATCAGTGGATCTAATTTGTGCTTGCTTCTGTACCCAAATTCTGCCACCAATCGACACCAGGAAACACAAACTTTGGTCAAGCATTTTGCTAGGAATGGGAACAAGACAAAGCAGAGCAAACTCCAGGAAGTGATTGCCTGTTAATCCAGTTCACAAAGATCATCAGCAACTTTACTAAGACTTCTCTATATTTAATGTCTTTAAAAAAAAAAAACCTCCTCCCCTTTGTTATTCTGCTCACAGGTTTACTGTATGTGTCTCAAATGAACACAAAAATGTATGCAGAGAGTTTCTTAACTTTTCCAAGACCACAGAATTATATAGCAAACAAGATTGGCTTTTTTTTTTTTAAAGAATCCTGGTGACTCTTTTAAAATAATTGAGATAATACATGCTGGAATAACAACTTGCTCAAGGGGATTAGCACCCAACCCTGCCTAAATTGGCTTTTTTTTTTTAAGCTCTGTCACAAATCTTTCTGAACAATCTTTGCCATCCTGTTCATATTAGAAGCTCAGGATTTAGAAGCAAGATTTATTGCATCTGCAGTTCTTCATGGTTATCCTATTTATAATTGGTACAGCGTTGTGTCCAGCATTCTGAACTCAGAAGGGAATCGAGAATTTCAATCCAAGATCTATGCTGTTGGAATTAGCCTCATTGGACAACATCTGATTTCAGGGAAGAAGCAGACTACATTTCCCTGAAAGGAAGACCATCCTGAATTTAAGGTGATCCCACCTTGTTCACCAATAGGAAGGGTACAAAAATTAAAATGAATGCAGCAAAAAAAAGAAAGAAACCCTCTGCAATTTCTATGTCAATGCTGCAAATACTGTATATTCTTGCTTTGACAATATTCAAAAGTGTCTGGTATTTACTGGGTTAATACATAGCTTAGAGTGGGGGGGGGTAAAAAGCGGGGGGGGGGGGAGAAAGAGGAAGTAAACTTTTGACCTTCACACTAATTGGATAATGTGACTTGTGACTGCAAGATAAGGGAGAGGTTTAGCAAGAAAAGTTTGATGCCAGCAAGAGGAAGTCAGATTCTGGCATCAAAACGTCCATGATGGAGACCGGCAATTTGTAGCTCTGTAATAAAGACTTTAGGAAACATGCCTGAAAGTTCTTTGAAGTCCTTCATTAGTCGGAACCCTGACATTCTACTTGTCTTAGGTTAAGAATCTAGGATTGCCAACTCCAGCTGAATCCACTCGTGGAGATTTGGTTGGAGAGCTCTCCTTCACTTGCTCTCATAATACAATGTTCCTTTATTCCTGCCAAATGTCATTGTACCACATCAAATTGCTGTCCTTCCTGTCTTTATCAAACCGTGGCAGAGGCCAGAAAAAGACACTGTTTTTTTTAAGAAGTTGTCAATGGGTGTAACCCAGGGGTAGTCAACCTTGGCTCTTTTATGAGCCTTAGCTGGCTCAGGAATTCTGGGAGTTGAAGTCCACGAGTCATAAAAGAGCCAAGGTTGACTACCCCTGGTATAATCTATCTACCTGTGCATCCTCCAATTTACCTTTTCCCCTTTGAGCCTGGACCTCGGCATCGCCCTAGACACCAGTCCCAAGTTACCTTCAGATCTTCGGGAATGAAGACTTTGCGAGCTTTCTTAATCATCGGCTGGGGCTTGAGCTCCTCCTCAGAGAACTTGCGCTTGCGAGGGTCAAACATTTCCTGACCAGGAATGCTAGAAAGAGCAAGATCGGCAGGGTCTGGTTCATACCCAATTGGAACCTGAATGCTGTCGGGATCAATGGGACTTGGCGTGTTTCGGTTTGTAGGCAAGATCTGACCTGAAGAAACCAAAGAAATGACGCTTTATCAGTAGAAGAAAGTATTTGACACTAGGGGTTGAACAGCGGAGTCCTTGGTGCTCTCTGAGCTTGGTTGTTTTCTTGCAGACGTTTCATTACCCAACTAGGTAACATAATCAGTGTTAGAAAGGAATGAAACCTAGTTGGGTAATATAATAGCATAGCTATTTTACTGTGGACAGGGCAAGCCAATGTGTACGAACAGAGAACAAACCCCATTTCCTTCTAGCACTGAAGGGTGGGAAATGAAATACTTGCAAGACAATAGCCTGAGCAGAGAGAGATCAAGGACTCCACAAACGATGCTTTGAAACAGTAAAATAATAATATTGCTCAGTTAGCCACCTTAACCCCCTGTAGATTATAATCCGTCACATTTCCACTTTCTTGTCTTCTAAGTCAGGGGTCCCCAACCCTCAGTCCGTGGACCAGTACCAGGCCGCAGCATGCCAGCAACAGGGCCTCACAAACAAGCAAAGCTCCATCTGTGTGATGCAGGCAGCACACAAAACCACACACCCTCACAGAAAAACCTCTCTCCACAGAATCAGTCCTTGGTGCCCCTAAGTAAGTTGGTGCTTACACGCCTTCTGTTCAGGAAAGCAAGCTCTGATCCACTTGCAATACACTTTGTCTTCTCTCTGTTTTCAACTGCATGCTCTCCAAGCCATACTCACTGGACTGTCTGAGAACATAAAAAGAGCCAATATTCTGTCACAGAGTGGACAACTAGATCCATTCTGGAAGGACAGGAGGGCAAATGCCCTTTTCAACCACTGTACTGTTCTCTAGCAATTAGCATTAAGTCATTCTGCCTTTGACTTAAGGCATAAAGCTACCAAGACTAATATCAACTGATAAATGCCCTAATATTGCTACAGTTATTTGGTAGACACTGGTGTCTATATCACAGAACAGCCTTTTAGAAAGTTTACTCTGAGACACAATGAGAAGCTTGAGTTTATTTGTTGTTGTTGTTGTTAGTTGCGAAGTCATGTCCAACCCATTGCGACCCGATGGACAACGTTCCTCCAGGCCTTCCTGTCCTCTAGTCTCCAACTAAGAAAGGCCTCAAGAACTGAATGACACTAGAGTCCAGTTTACCTCTCCTGTTTTCACTTAAGACGTATTAGCAATTAAGATGTTGCATTGGGAGCAGAGAGATCCAAGTTCAGGTCCCTCCTTAGCCAGGGAAGTTCCCTGGGTGAGTTTGGGCTGGGAATTCTCTCTCAGGCCAGTCTACCTCACAAAGTACCGTAAATGCCGGCGTACAAGGCGACCCGGCGTATAAGACGACCCCCGTCTTTATAGCTGGGCCGCATTCCTAGAACATCGTCTTATACGCCGGAAACTACCAGTATTTCTGGCGTATAAGATGACTCGGCGTATAAGACGACCCCCGTCTTTGGCGCCGATTTCAGCGCTCACGGAAGTCACCTTATACGCTGGCATTTACGGTAGCTGCTGTGGTGCATAATAAGAAGGAGCGCCATGTATACCACTTCAAGCTGCTGAATGAAAGATGGGATATAATACAAATAAAATAAACCAGACTGTATTAATATATGAGAAAGTAAGACCATACCTACTGGCCACGAGGGTGTCAATACATGTCATCTATTGGATGTCCAGAAAAGATCCCTCTTGTGAGTGTGATGCTTAGGATGAGACAACTCAGCATGGCACCATCCAGATTTACATATGGAAGTAAGCAAGATTTATCTAAAGCTTGAATAAGGACTGAGAATGCCCAAGAATATGAACAGACCATGTCAGAATGAGTACCTGTCCTGGGATGACTTCAAATCTTAATTCTGAATATTGGGTTGGTACTTCCCAATATAGACCAATCCCTGGAAGTCAGGGGCATGCTAAATTATGTCAGCTAGCCTGCAGTAGATCCAGAGTGGCTGATAAAGCTGGAGAGAAAGCAAGATTCCTCCCCTTATTTTATTAAATGAATGTTTTTTATAAAGTCTCAATGCCACTTGAAATAAACTCTGAGTTAGAAAAGCTGGATTGTAGGAATGCCAGATCGGCACCTGTTCTCTCTCCTGAACAGCTGATTGGTCATATTGACTGTTGGTGCGCTGAGCCCTGAAAATCAGATTATGTAAGAAAAGTTGGGATCTATTTGTACAGCTCTTTCTCCACCTATATGCTGATTGGCTCATTTTGCTTCTATACCCTGCACAAATGACACATCTCTGACCCTTTATTGGCTTTGTTCTTGGCCAGCTGGGGTTTGTGCTCAAAACAAAAAAATCATCTCAAGTGTTCATTGCAGCACACTGTGTATCGCTTTCCAAAATAATAGGACATTACGGGAGAAAGGGGTAGAAGGAAAGCTGTTTTTTGAGGGCACAAAAATGTTGATTCAGTGGAAGTTGTGCCTTGTCAAATTCGTTCTATGAAGCATTGCAATACCATTTGCCGGCAAAAAGGGCCAAAAAGCCCCAGGGAGAAGTTCGGCCCATTTTTTTTTAAACATAAAGGAGAGATCAAGAGACTCCTCTCTTGTACCAATAATAGAAAGTCTCCTTCTCACACTGAGGGCCAGGACGCTTGGTGCCAAGGTGCTGAAAAGTGGGCATATGCTGTTTTAGTTTTGCTAACTGAACAGATGATAGTAGTGAGGATAAAATCGAAAAGTGGCATTTGATGGTAGGCTTAGTCTTGTTTACACATCTAATTTGTGGCAGATGCCAGGAAACCTCCTCAGCGGCTGAGCAGGAAACTAAGAATTCTTGGTTCCAGCACAGCATCCAACTCTCTCCTTCAGACTTTTTGCAAGAATATCGTTATTATAATGATGAACGGTTGGCCATGATTTATAGTGCATGTAGTCCTAGACCTGCGACCACAATTGAGCCCAAAATTTCTGCTGCTGAGGGAAATAGTTAACTAAATTTTGCCCCCATTTTGCGATCTTTCTTGCTACGGTTTTTAAGCGAATCACTGCAGTTCTTAAATTAGTTCCCCGTTGACTTTGCTTGTCAGAAAGTCGCAAAAGGCGAGCATGTGACCCCCCAGGACACTACAACCATCCTAAATGTGAGGTAGTTGCCAAGCATCTGAATTTTGATCATGTGACCTTGGGGATGCTGCAGTGGTTGTAAGTGTGAAAAATGGCCATGTCGCTTTCTTCCAGTGCCAAGGTAACTTCAAATGGTCACTAAATGAACTTTTCTAAGTTGAGGACTACTTCAGACCATTCTGCATAAAGTTACATTCGAAATGCATCATATATTGTGACCCTCCACCAACAAATATGGAGGTTTTCACACCGCTGAGGCACTTCTATCTTGTGCGAGCGATATGGCTGCAATGTTCCGAGATGCTCTTTGAACCCATTATATTTGAACACAGCATGAACATTCCTAACCTCTATTGTTCTCATGCTCTCACCTGTACTGTTGTGACACCAAAAGCAAGACTGTGGGATGTTTCCAAGACGATACATATTGAAACCTGCCCAACTGGTTGTATCAATTACACGGTTCCGCATATTTCCCCTCAAAACCAAACCTGTGAACCCCCATGTCAGCTTGCACTGAACTACAGTCCATGGTGTGCATTGCTACAGGATTTGAAGAAGTTGCCATTCCTCATTTTCATAGCTGGGATTTGTGTTTGCTTGTATGTGGGGTACGTGCGTGTACATACGCACCAACGCACACATGTTAGGTGACAAGCAGGTTCTTCCTTCCATCTGTGAATGAGAGATATTTCTCTTGGGTTGTTGTTTTTTTTACTTTTATATCAAATACTGTGTTGCTTTGTGATATTTCTCTACCAGGGACAGGAACATGGGTTTAACAATAAAATTGCAATTAACCTTTGTACTGTGCTACAGCTCAATCCACTGACATGCATGAACAAAATTACGTCCCTGTCCAGTTCACAATGGTACAAACATGCCTTCTGAAATCTTTTGTGAGATCCGGTCTCAGTTTGAGATGCTTAAATTCTCAATTTGGGATGCTTCAGTTCAAGTTGGGTCAAAGGAAGACAGTGTGGAAAAGATCACATGCCTAGCAGAAAAAGCAGCAGAATAACTCTGCATCAGCAAACTGTGCAGCTGTGACAACACCCAAGTACAAGAAATGGTCAGCAGAGCAGAAAGGCTGCAGGGTAGAATCAGCAGGGTTTCTTCCTAAAGTTAAGGCAAATATTTGGTTCCGCATTATAGTTCTCTGAAGCTGCTATTCATGCTCACTTTTGTTTCTAATTCTACCTTAATTAACCAGATAAATTCAGCTGAACAGAAGGCTGACCCACCTCCTGAAAATGAAAGCACAATCAACTGGATGCTCAGCAGATGAGACTCTGTCACAATTCCATTCTTTTTCTTGCACAATCTTCTGCATTTATTTCAATAGGCTTGATTCAATCCTGAATCCAATTATTTAGAGTCACTGTATGATCATTGCCCAGTTCTGGTAGAAATTCCTAGTTTTTTTATAGGTACACCCAAATGTATTCATGTTTTGGACTTCATTCTTAGTGATTGGGCATGTTTATACATACAATGCTAAAAACTTGTTGTGTGTGTGTGTGTGTGTGTACACATATACATCTGTAAAACAACCTTAATTTATTTAGCCATTAAATGCCTACTCAATAAAACAGTCCTGTCCTCAAGATGAAATAGATCAGTTTACAAAGTATCATTTCGGAGATAACTCTAAGGATAAGTTCTAATGATTTCCTTCATCTCATGAGAAGACCTCCCACTGCAAAACACTGAAGGGGCCCTGGTGGGACCACAAGAAATTAAGATACACAAGAATTAAATTCTATGACATGCTGGCTGGAAATTCAGGTCTCACACATCTGGAGAACCAACAAAGCCTGGATGAGGGACCTTGAAGGAGTCAGGTAGATAGATAGATTGAAGGAGTCAGGTAGGTAGATAGATACAACTCTATCTCCCAAAATGAAAAATTATGTCATTGGAAAGAAGAGGGATAAATTGGGGGAAGAGTCCTCAAGCACTTAA